GTGTCTTCACTGTTATTTAGTCCATCTATATATAAATCTTGTTTTGTAATATGTCTTCAGCTCCCCCCATCTCGATTAGTTTATAAGCTATTTGCGGGTGGGAAAATAATCTAATTAGTTATTTTCCATTTTTGAATAAAATTTGTTGTTGTTGTTGTTGTTGTAGAAGTACACGGATGACGTGACCATTGACTCTTCTGATAATGAGAGATGTAGCTGATGTTAGTTCTCAGTCAAACTCCTCTCTGGGGACATCAGCTAGCTTCTCTGCAACAGGGTCACCGTTGTTGGTGTCCTCAGCTACTTTATTGGACAAGTCGTTATGTAATGCGGTTTCTTGTGTCTTTAGAATATCCCTCAGGTTTCAGGCCTGTAATGATGGTCATTCGCGTTCACAATATATGATCTGAAACTATCACCAGGTTTAAATGGTTCAAGGGACATGCAGCTTCGATCAAAAAACTCTTCCTGGACTTGCTATTTTTCCAGCACTCTCTGAACCTTACTGGGACCGTAGGCCATTGAATTTAGGAAGATATTCGAAACAGGAGAGATGCTTCTTGTGCGACGCTCCACGAGTAACTGGTTTGGTGAAAGCCTGACTCCGGTAATTGGAGTATTTCGTAACTCCAGAATCGCTACATAGGGATCTTTGAACCATTGCTCTAAGACATCATTGGTGATAAAATAACTGGCTGAAATTGATTCTATTTAGCAAACTGTTGCTAACTTCTGGGCCATTATCAAAGGACAAACTCCGGTATTCCATGTCTAAGCCATATGCTGTTTTCGACAGTTGATGGAGGAGGCCGTGTCAGCTCAAAGTACTTTGACTTATAAGCTAAGAGCACATCAAATTTGAGCAAAGAAAAAATGTGTGCGCAGAAGCGTGTTACAGTCCCTTTAATGAGCAAAACTACGATAGTTAGGCTAACTGGTCGGGTGTCGTAGGGAAATGAGTCTTGTGATAAGCATGCGGTTATTTTCGGCGATGATTCAAATGACACACCATGTTCATCACGTTTTTGCTCTTTGGCAATGACGTAATTGTCGTGTATTTATACACGCGTACTCATCAGTTCAGAAACAAATCGTAAGATAAGGTAAATATCCTGAAGAATACTCGATCGTCGATAAAGTAGGACTTAAAAAGGTTTTAGCAAGGAAATCCTGTTTCCTGTAGAATTAATAGCCTCATTTCGTATCTAATCTCCAAAGAAGCTCGACTTAACACTTTTAAGATTGTTTTTGTTCAGTCTAGTGTATTGCTATAATAGATTGTGCTGAATCTGAGAAACTGGTTTTCAAGTTTGCTACAGTATGTATATAATGACAGCAGCCCTCGTTGCTCTCATTGTTCAGCGCCACCCTTTTTTTGCCCACGTAATCACGCTACCAATGTTCTTACGTCGTTAGCTCTATTTCCGCTGCTCTATCTAGTTCATTTCACCGAACAGTGGCTGAGAATCGAGCGTACTAAAATCATTTAGGACGCGAAGTCAAAAGTCTGAAACGCTTTTGAGTCACCTATAATAATGTAACCGTTACTGGAGATTAAATACTTACCAGCCACAACAAGTTTGACCCAACTCTGTAGATTAGGTGGATCAAATAAGTTGAAAGACAGGTCACATTTAAATATCCGGCTGTCATTCTGTGTAACGTTTAGTATTCTGAAAGTAATGCTTCCTACGCTTCCAAAAGATCGCAAAGAACCAGCGAAAGCGATCCTGTTAAAGTATCCACTTGATGGGTTGACTTGAAGTTGCTGACCGGGCTGGCGTCTAGCCACAGTTACATCATTTTTCCCTGCGCAAACATATTTCAGATCTACCTCTTTTATTGTACGTCCTCTAGGCCTGAAGTGCCAACTCAAATCATACGAACTGGAGCCATCAATTCCATAAACTATGTTCCCCCATTTTGGAGTTAAAGTTGGTGAATCATAATCTGTAAAATTATAAAAATAAACGAAAAATTGTTCATGAGCATAAGGAATGTGCATATGTAACGAAAGGAAAGGAAGAAAACATTTTCTTTAAAAAAATCTTTTTGTGTTTTTTCTTTGAAAGCAATTGAGGCTAATCGAGTCAAGGGACTTTCCAAATTGAAAACTGTAAATTCGTATGGTTGTTCAAGTGAGGTCGCTGTCAAAATTGATTCCAATCATTTTGATATGTACTCAAGACAGTTTCTAATAATTTCCTGCCTGGCGTATCGGCCCCTACACGCGTAAGAAAACATTGGAAGATTACAGGTGAATGTAAAGGGCCATGGGAAGTATCAATAAAAACAACAGGAAGCGAATAGGAAGATCTTTCAGAAAGCACTTAAGGCTATTGGAGTAGATAAGATGGTTCCAGTTGAAAAGCTAGTCAAAGGGAAATTCAAGGATAACTTCTCTTTCGATTCCCAGGTTTTTTGCTTGGTGTTTTAAGAGCTGCAAAAGCCCTCGCTATTGCTAAACTTTCCACAACGCCCCCTAATAGGAGGCACATTTCGTTGCCCTGAGTAGTAAATTCTAAAGACGTATAGTTCTTGGCAAGCTAGTGATAACTAAGCTGGTTGGATATCAGCATACTCTTGGTGCTCTCACGTTTTGATGTACACTGGATGACGCTACCAAGGTCGTTAGGTCGTAAACTTCATCTCCGCCGCTCGCTCGAGTCCAGTTTTACCGAGCAGTGGCTGGTAATCCAACGCACTGAGGTTGCTTGAGTGAGTGAGGAGTGAGTGAGTGAGAGACTTTATTTTACGAGGGTAACACGTGACAGTAACTACAATTACTGGCTAACTTATGACCCTCTAAGAGAAATTAAAAATACAATGAAATAAAAAATATTAGCGATACAGATTACTATTTATAATAAAAATATTTACAATAAAAAGCCTACAAGCATTTGATAACGAGAGAAATAGTTAAAAGTTAGCTAAAATAACCTAAAATAAGAAAAATAGTGAAGGCAGAGAGGACTAAGTTTAAAATACTCATGAAAACGAAATAGAACTTTTCATATTTCAGTCGGATTTCAAAGACATCTTTTTTCTTAGGGATCGGGGTAAGGTATTCTAGTTTTTAAGAGTTCTCACTGCGAAGGTGCACCCCCCCTCTGAGACGTTTTTTGTGGGGGAAGGGGGAAACAGTAGATATAAATTACAATTTCTTGTGATTCTCGAGTGGTTATCAGAGTTTTTTCTTAAACATGTGATTAAATGGTGAGGAAGTGTACCATTCATCCTTTTGAAAGCAAGTGCACACTGATTGATTTATGCTTCGTTGTAAAAAGGAAGCGAGGTTAAGGTGGCTCAACTGGATTTTTTAAGGAGTATACCTCCCCACTTTGTACACCTTTCCTTGTTCTCCCCTGTTGGCTGCCTTACTTTCTATGTTTTCCATGTGTGCCCGCTTGTCTGCTCTTATCTTCCTCTTCACTGTTCGGTCAGCTTTCCAGTACTTCTTCTTGTATCTCTCTTTCGGCCTCTTCGAATTGGACTCCACGAATTTCCTCTTCGGGGGTTCCCCTGTTCTCGATGGCATGCCAGGTTGTGATCCACTCTTTCTCTTCTTTTGCCGACGTCCCAAGAAAGATTCGCTGGTCTGGGTGTATGCTGTTTTGACTTGGTCCCACATGGTGTTGATTCCAGTCGTATCTGGCTCGACGTTAGTTAGCTGCAAGTACTGGGGAACAACAGACTCGCCAATTATGGACTTGCAACGCCGAATTCTTACCACAGAAGCAAAACAAGAAGCTAGGTGGGAGGAACACTTTAGCGAAGTTCTGAACAGACCACCACCTGCAACGAAGCAGAGATCCTGAAGCAGACCTAGATCTCAACAGACACCACGAGAGAAAGAAGAGATCATGGCAGCCATCAGATCCTTAAGAAACGGAAAAGCCCCGGTTCAGGGCAGCCTTTGCTCAGAGCTATTCAAGGCCGATCCGCAGTTTGCAGCACAAGTTCTTTAGCCACTCTTCGCAGCCATATGGGAGGAAAACGGCTACCAGAGGACTGGACAGTTGGGGTCATCGTGAAGATCCCGAAGAAAGGAGCCCTGAGTACTGCAACAACTGGAGAGGCATCTCCCTATTGTCAGTGCCAAGCAAGATCCTGGCAAAGATCATAATCCAGCGAGCAAGCGGGTTTTTGAAAGGGAAGGGATGCATTGAACAGATAAACACCCTGAGAAACATCATTGAGCAGTGCACAGAATTGCAGAGACAGCTGTACAATAACTTTGTATATTTCGAAAAAGCCTTTGATAGCGTCCTCCAAGATAGTCTTTCGCCAACCCCAAGGCCCACGGGATCCCACAGCAGATTGTCCATGTCATCCAGAGCTTCTTCGACAACTTCACATGCAGGTTGCAGAACAGCAAGTCCAGTTTTGAAGTCAAGACTGGTGTCAGGCAAGGCTGTTTAATGTCGGCGCTGTTTTTCAACATCGTTATCGAACGGGTGATGCGGCGAACAACAGAGGACCAATCACGTGGCATCAGATGATCCCTCATCTCAACGCTGTAAGATCTGGATTTCGCTGACGATCTAGCACTGGTCTCACATACCCATCAGCACATGCAAGAGAAGACGTTCCTTCTTAGCACCTTTGAACAGCAAGTAGGCCTGAAGATTTGCCAGAAGAAGACTGAAGTCATGATGCTGAATGTACAAAATCCCGCACCAGTCAAAGTGAAGGGATAAGACCTTCCAACAACTGAGGAGTTGACCTTCCTTGGCAGCAGACATGATAACGGAGCGGGTAACGACATCAACGACATCAACAGCTTCCAGAATTCCCGTGTCTTCATCCATACGCCTCCGTAGACCCTTTCCCGTAACCAACAAAGCTTCCGTTTTTGCGCATTTATACACATTTTGTTACCTCTAGACCATCTCTCTTTCTCTGTCAGATCATCAGATATTGATTGATTTAGTGAAGAAATGGTTTTCAAATTGGAACTTGAAGACGCGACATATTATTCTGAAACGCTTTTGAGTCAATTATAACTGTAACTGTTCTTTAAGGGTTAAATACTTACCCCTCAAAATAAGTTCGACAGAGCTTTGTACATTAGGTGGATCAAATGAGTTGAAAGATAGGTCACATTTGAATGTTCTTCTGTCACTCTTTGTAACGTTTAATATTGCAAAAGTAATCGTTCCTTTATTTCGTTTCAACGAACCGGTAAAAATGATCCTGTTTGCGTAGCCACTTGCTGAGTTGACTTGAAGTTGCTGGCCGGGCTGTTGTCTAGCCACAGTGATATCACTATTTTTAGTGCGAACATATTTCAGCTCAACCTCTTTTATTGTAAGTCCGTCAGTGTCGAAATTCCAGGCCAAACGTACCGAATTGAGTCCAACGGATGCATAGACTTTATTCCCCCACAATGGAACCAACAATGGTGAGGCACAATCTGTAAAATTACAAATTAAAATAGGTGTAACATATACATTCATTGGCAAGAAAAAATAATGTTTATTTTTATATATTGTAACGAAGGTTATAAGAGGACGCAAACATTTGCAGAACAAAATATTCTTTCTGTTTCTTGTCTCTGAAAACGAATGCGGTTAAGTGAGTCACTGGGAGTTCTATATCGAACCTTTTCAACTCTTTTGTTTGGTCAGTAATGGCCTTTTCTTATTTCCTATCCTAAGGTAAATTTCTTTGTGTGTTGAGAAGCTGTGTTCGCCTTGAATCGTGGTGCCAATAAACACTCGGCTCAAAGTCGACATGCTGATCTGGCTCTACCGTTCTTTTGCATAGTTAGGTGTTTAAAACATGTCGTTTAGCTCTAGAGAAAAACGTAAGTAACAAAACGAAAAAATGAACAACAGGCCCCCATTCTGCTCTGATCTCAGGTTATTTTCAAATTTTGGATGCCAAGCGAAGGGCGACCTACAGCCGAAAAAAATAATCACGATGTCATAACCTGCATCAGCCGCTGACAAGGTTTATTGTCGTTAATTCGAATTTGATACGGCCGTTATGATCGACTACTTTGGTCCACATCCTACGACGATGGCGATTTTGGGGCGCATGTGAAAATTCGCGGTGTCACTTTAGGACATCAGAGGTCATTTACCACTGCATGCATAATTAACAGTATTGCTTCCATCCTTCTTTGCCTTTAGTGACAGCCTAAGCTTAGTCACACAGACTGTCTCGGGCATATGCTTGTGGCATTGTTTTACCCCCAACCTTGCTGCACTACGTTTTCCCCCTATGATTTTTTCTAGTTGTTTTGTCATGTATGGATCATTCATGTACAGCTTGCGTACTCTAAATAAGGTTTGCCAGTAACAGAAAAATAGCGGATTCACTCTATGTTTAGCTCCTTTAACCAGAAATGAATCATAAGACCCAGCAACGGGAAAAGAGGATTAATTGATGCATTAGTTTTGTTAGTCTCTGTTTTCCATTGTAAAAGGCTTTTTTGTATCACATTTTTCAGTCGGTTCATGATCCTTTTTGTTTACTTGCAAATATGACTGTCTCATGGACAAAGCTCTATATAAAGCTTGATACCCTTTTAGACATTTAATTTAAAAGCTGAAGATTTATATCTTTGAAGTACGCTGCTTTTGATATTGATTACATCGATCAGTATCCATCAATATCGCAAAATATTCGAGTTCATTCATGGCGTTTAGAAAAATCACAATTAAGCAGGTTGGAATATTCTTTAACTTTAGCTTCAACATGGTGTGACCACAACCCTTCGTTATTCAGCCATATGTCAGCTATAAGCAGGTGTGCTACCTAAATTCTTGTCCGGGATACTGGCTTGTTACTGTGCATTCAGTTGAATGCTGTTTCTTTTGGTTATGTTCCAATATTTGTTTTTTGTTTATAAACGTTTTCTTGACGATTGGGGGGGAGGGGAGGGGGGTAATAAACTAAAACTTAGTTACTGCTTGGGTGTCTTATTCCAAACAGTACTCTGTTGTTGTGTCTCATATGACTATGGACTCCACAAGTAAGATGCTGGGAACACTAACACGCTCAAACACAACATGTCTTCTAAAAAACCTATGCATGTACGTTCTCATTTCCAAAACCATTGACATTACGAAATTTAACACACACATAACATAACATACGCATTTGAAATAATGACTTGAACCGTAAATTTGTAATTGTTTTAACATAAAAAAATACGTAGGTTTAAAAATGGAAAATGGAAAATTAAACTAGGTTAAAATTCGACCAATAACATTATTAGTACCACCGTGGACAGGTTGTTAATGATTGGTGTATCACAAAACCTCACTCGTGATTGGTGAGTTATGATACTGAATACTGTTCCCTCAGCAGTTGTCCGATCGTAGGCATCCAAACTTCAGGAATCTCAATTCCACTTTCCCTATTGATGTTGTTGGGGTGAAGTCTTATGTGAATAGCCTCTTTAACTCTACGAGAGTACGAGTAAGGGTAAACTCGTCTCTTAGCGGATAATTCCTCATCTTCGGGAAACAGCTGAGGTTTGAGTTCGTGAAAGCCGTATATCCCTGTCGTGTTCCTTAATTCATTCATGGTTGTTGTGCATTGAGATGCATTCATTTTTTTATTTTTTGCGTGAAATTAGCCAGTTGTCAAATCAACAGTAGAGCCTCTCTGCATTACTGACAAAATTCTCTTTCTTAGCTTTGACTCGTTTTCGAATACTAAGAACGTATCTTAAAAAGCTGCTTCAGAAGCACAGCGTAATTGTAGGTAAAAGGCTAATAACAGACTCTGGTTTTGCCGTTGTCTTGAACGGAACTTGGGCCCCCTGTGATTAGCATCAGGCATCTCGTCTACCCCTTAACCCCGAAGGAAGACCTGATACTCACGTAATCCTGCACGGTAATAAAATAAACGCTTGAAAGGGAGTTATTTTAAGGCCGTTTGTTCCCACCAAATCAGCCTTAATCAATGGGGTATATATATATATATTTTTTCGACGTTGTGGCCAACCGCGAGTCTCGTTGCGTGTGCAAGTAGATATTCTTAGAAGGGTCGCATGGTTGCTTTGCACGTTTGCTTCTTTCTGATGTCTGGAGGTTCTGCAGCCGAATTTCGAAAGGCTCTAACATCGGTGGCGGTAATAGTGCTTTTGTCCTAGCAGAAATTCGATTTAATATGTTTCATAAAATAATAAAATGACAATCGTAAGCAACTGATGAGGGAGATGATTCGTAGGTCCAAAACAGCCTAGTCGTGTGATGGTAAAAGTTCCGTATCGAAATTAGCTGCCCGGTACAAAAGGCACATTTCACGGATCAGGAGTACATGTCACTGTTCCATTGATAAATGACAAAGTCAAACAGATTGTTTTAGGTCTCAAACGACACTGCTGGGCAAGAAGACACTTTTGTTCTGTTTATTTGTCTATGGCAGGGTGACTTGTGCTCCTGACAACTGGAAAGTGACCTGTGTCTTCAAGGGGAAACATAGTACGTAAGTTGTGTTACAAATAAAGTTATGTGACTAACAGAAGGCTAGGGAAGATAAGTTGCCGAGCACGACGTTAAATCTCGATAAGCCTAGCTGCAGTCCATGCCCAGCTGCATCCTCCACCTCAGCTCGCCAACAATAGAGGATCTAAGCCATAAAGGCTACGTGAAGTTTTCACAGTAGTTTTGTTTCACCACTTTCATATATACTGCTTTTTGGGTTGAATTTAACCTTATTTACTTACCTGAAGGAAATGGTACAATCGAGCACAGCAAAATCAGTAAAATAACAGATGAACCTGTAGGAGAAATATTTCGATCTCGGAACATGGCGAATTCTCTGTTTTACGATGGAGTCGACACTGTATTAAATCAAGAAACTTCCGCATCGAGATTACCTTTTTGTGGTCTTTGTGAGGGGAGAAGGGGTGCAACGTGGTAGTCTGCGTGCAGTAGTCCGCTACCCTTGGTGTGTATGCACGCAGGCTACCAACTTTACAACCGACGCAAAGGACACTTTCAGGGTGAAGCATCGAGCAATTTGGGTTTCTATTAAGGTACTATTAAAAGCTTGGAAGGCATTTTGTGTTTCTAATATATTGTATGTACATATATAATGATTTCCTGTTTGTCAGGGTGTTCAATATTCAACGTTGAAACAAGCTCAACGGTTGTCGTGACGTTGGAGACTGAAAGGGTCAAAGTAATTTTGCTTTCACTAATTTCGCTCCGTGTGCTTATTTTAGAGAATCAAAAACTGGTGGCAAAAAAAATCTTCGCCACAAACAGTAGGCACTTATCTGACACGTATCACTGTTCTCCAAGTTAACTGAATTAAAAGCGTCTTCGTTTTTGTTACACATCGATCAACTCCTTTGGCGTTTAAGCATCACTTCTCTAGTGTTCTGCGACAGTTTGAAGTAGCTATTCTGACGTTTCTGCCGTATATGTGATAGCTTGATAAGTGCTGGTATACTGCCTAAACTATTTGCCGCTAAATTGTTTCACTTTGGCTGTTATCAACAATTATTGACGTCACATTAATGAGAGAATCAAAGTGTTTGATTGCCGAGTAAAAGAATGAGCGGACAAAGGAAAGAGTGAAGGAATGACGAAGAGTCACAAAGCCACGAACAAATTCCGAGTAACATTCGTTTTCACTTTTAATGATTAACATTTAACTATATGGATCACTATGTTTTATCATTCTATTGTAATGAGCGGGTGAGCAAAACGTTTATGTAACACGTGCACTATAAGTCATTACAAGAGATAAAATAGCCCATTCTCTCTTGATTAGTATTATTTATTACTATAGAAATGGCTAAAGATGCCATACTAGTTCAGTGTCCACTCTCACTTGCGTGCAAATCCAGTTACTTACTTGGAAAGTTAATCGAACTATAAATTTACTTAGAAAATGCCGTGACTTCCTTGATGCTGGATAAACTGTGGTGGTTGATTCCCCTCTGTCAGCCATTGTCATCCTGCTACCATCATTCATCCATTGATCATAGTGCCTGATGAAATGTCAAATCGTCCACGTTCTTGTAGAGCTGCTTGTCATAGAGGTGCATTTTGATGAGTGTCTACCAGAGGAGAATCTCAGCGTTATTCAAAATCGGTGCTTTAAAATACACATACGAAAAATAACTGGATCTTGTTTACTGTAGGTAGTGTCGACCGATGTATCGTTCGATATAGCGGTCGATAGTCGGTCGACAGTCGGTCGATAGTCGGTCGATAGTCGGTCGATCGTGGGATAGACTATCAGCCGAGTATCGGTCGATATTTCGACGACGCACCTCGACCGACTATCGGTCATATTTCGG